CTACTAGACTAAAAATCAGTAAGGACTTAGAAGAGCTGAACAACATGATCAAGCACCTTGATTTCATTGACATTTATAGGCCACCATATCCCCAAATAATAGAATACAGTTTAGTTTCAAGTGCACATGGACTATTTACCAAAATGAGCCATATGTTGGACCATAAACAAATTTTAACAAATTTCAGAAGATTGACATCTTACGGAGTATATTATTTTCAACCACAACAGAATTAAATTAAAAATCAGAGCAGTAAAACATCTGGGAAAGCCCAAAATATTTGGAAATGAAACAAGACACCTCTAAAAAATCCATGGTATACCTAAATAAGTTGAAACTCATGCCCAGTGAAAATTTGTCTATGACTGTTTATAACTACTAAATAGTGTTGCAGGAGAGGGCCTCTGTGGGAAATCTCTGTATATTCCCATCAGTTCTTCTGTAAAGCTTGCCCAAACCTGGGAGGATCGAGATGCCCTGAAATAGGTGAATGGATAAACAGACTCTGGAACGTTCATGCAATGGGATATTATTTAGTGATAAAAAGAAAAGAGCACTCAAACCACAAGATACAAAGTAAACTTAGAAACATACTACTAAGAGAAAAAAAAAAAAAGAACCTGAAAAAGCAATATACTGTATGATTCCAACACTTACATGGACCCCGTACTTACAGTAGTTACTGCATATAACTGTAGTCATTATGTTACCTTCTGGAAAAGGTAAAACTTACGGAGACAGTAACAAATTTGATGATTACCATGGTTGCGGGGAGAGGGAATGAATCGGGGGAGCACAGGAGATTTTTAGGGCAGTGAAACTATCATGACACTGTAATGTAGGTACCTGTCATTATACAATGATCACACTCCATAGAACGTATAACAGAGAGTGAAACTCTAAAAAATTATAGACTTCAGTTACCTCTATTGGCTCCTTAACTACAGCGAATGTTCTATACACATAGCAGGTGCAAACAATAAGGGAAATTGTGTTGGAGGAGAGGGCACACATAGGAAATCTCTGTACTTTCCCATCAATTTTTCTGTAAACTTAAAACTGCTCTAGAAAAGTATTTAAAAAAAACAACCCCACAATCAAAGAATCTAAGTACCTGAATCCTACCTAATACTTTCGAAATTCTGTCTCCCTCTAATGTGCCTAGCTAACAGATTTCTCTGCCCTTAAAGACCCTCTTTCCCGTTAAGAGCGGAGCATGCAGTGGGGACAGGATGCGAATACCAGACTATGGAGAGAATCATGGGAATATCAGGCAAAACCAATCATTCTGAAACCTGGCTCCCCTCTTGCACACTCAAGCATTCATCCCATAATATTTGAGGTTCTTTTCTGAGTTAAGGTCTTTGTTGGGTGTTGCAGGCACAACTGGCAAGAAGCCAGAGTCTCTTCCCACAAGACATTTCCAATCCAAAGGAAGCTGATGACAAGTAAACAGGCAGGACAGCTCACTGCGTTAAGCTTAAGCGTTACGAACTGGTACCTCCAGGGGCTAGAGTACAGGGAGGGAGTCACTAACCCAGCCCAGGTTTGGTCAGATGAGACTTTCTAGAGGAGGTGACACAGAAGCCAAGCCTCAAAATTATTAACAGTAGTCGAGAGGCAATGAGAAAGCCTCCTGGGATTGACCAGATATATGGAAGCAAAAATAAATGCAGCCCACTGGGAAGTGGCAGGTACTTAACTGTGGAGTGTGGCTGCCGGTGTGCATGTGTCTATTGGGGGTGGATGGAGGAGAGACATGAGAAATGGGCTGCGGGGCAGGCCTGACCCTCTTAGTAGTGCCCACACGGCCCACCAGGCCTGGCAATGTCTGCTCCCCAGAGTCTGTGCCTCAGGCAGATGGTGCGACCTGGGGAAACTCACCAAGTCTCTTTTGAACACACTTGGTGGAAGGAGTGATCCTGTAATTACCTTGGTGATAATTAGAGGAGTTTCCATAGGCTCTCTCAATAATCACTGCACAAGCTGTGGCCCTCTCACCTGCGAGGGAGAGGGGGGAGCCAGGCACCCCACTTTGAGGAGTCGATGCTTGCATCTCCTGCCAAACACACCTGACTCCCTGGCTGAGATCCAGATGCCATAGGTACACCTGGGGCTGGTCCAGCTTGGAGCTGAGAGCTGCTGGTAGAGGGATGAAGTCACTCCCCGAGTGCCCCAGGCTGGGCAGCCTCCAGCCCGCCCACAGACTCAGCTTTCCTTCAGGATTGGCTTCCTTGGGATTTCAAGTATATGGAGATCCTGACCAGGATCTGATGTTTGGTGCCTTGTTCATTTGGGCAACCTTAGCTGAGATGCTCAAGTCACTGGTCTCTGGGCTCATACTCCATCTCCCTAGGACACAGAGTTCGATGGCTGGGACACTCCTGTCCCTACTAAATGCTACTGGCTTTCTCTGTGTTCATATGTTTTTCCCAGGGACACTTTGGAGCCCTCTGGTATAAACAGAAGAAAACTGTTCTTCTTATTTTTGAACCCATACCTTCACCAGATTTCTCCATGCTTTCTTTCACCAATTTTTTTCCCAGTGCAAAAAATGACCTCTGTGCTTCTGAGAAGGCCTTGTCTTTCTTTCCTCCCACTGTTGAGCCTTTCAATGCTAACTTTTCATGTGGCTTTGTCTTCCATGACTCATTGGAAAGGAAAGCTCAGTGAATCACCCAGGGGTTTAATGTGTCACTTTTGTTTCATTAGCGACATGTCTGGTCTGTTTTGTTCTTAGCTCTCCAGAGAAGGTGCTTCTGCACCTCCCAAAGCCGCTTGTGCCAATGGCTTCTGGTCTTTCCCATAGGGCCTGTGGTTTCACTTGTGCCCCTTCGAGACTCAAAACGACTGTGTGTCACATTCAAGGGTACAACTGGTATCCTGTAAAAGCAGCTGACAAAGCTGTAATAACTAAACAAATGTGAAGAATTCAGGCTCTTTGGTTTCTCAGATCCCCATAGTATTCCTGCAGTCAACGCAGTTTGTGGCTGGGAGGATATCTGCAAACTGGATTCTTCTGTGCATAATCAGAAGAAGGATCCCCAATGACTGAATATTTTCTTGGGGCCCTGTGTCAAACCTGCTCTAGGATCTTGATCTTTTCAACTGGCCCTTTCCCAGGGCTCTCTGGTGAAGCCTCAAGGAAACACGTTGAACCTGACTGGTCCTGGCACCTGGCAGTGGGGGAAGGAGGAAGGAGCGCTTGCTTCTGAAGGAAAAAATGTACTTGGCTTTCTCATTAAAGGGTTCCCCTTGGGGAACAGGCAAGTGGCAGGTGTATGGGCAGTGGCCAAGCGATCCATTTTGAGATAGATACAAGGTGTGGTGTTCCCCGAAGCCTGGGCAGGCCCTGGGAAACAGGAGCAGAGCTAGATCCTGGCCTGCAGTCGGGCAAACTGCAGAGCAGCTTGAGTGTGCTGGCTTCAGGTGTGTGTGCTCTGCTCCCTGTGGAGACAGGGGTCCAGGAAGCCTGTATGTCTGCTGCCCAGGCAGACTTCTAAAACCTGTAGGTGCACTGATCATTTTCATTCATGAACATAAAAACTGGCAAGGAGGCTTGGCTAGACCCTTCAAGCTGTGCATCTTTTCCGCTTCTTTTTGCAACATCCCCCAGCACAAATCATCTCATTCCAAACCTTCACATCTTCAGGCCAATGCCTCATGCCAGTCTCTTCCTAGAATACCCAGAATATCATGTCTCTTTCAGACAGCTGGATTCACTTCTAGAGAATCATCCCCCAGTGCCCCAGGGCTCTCTCCTCTCTCGCTAAACCTAGATTCATCGTTGGACTCCGATCTAGCTCTGCTACATTTATTCTCCAGTAAGGCCTTTTTGCTCTTGCATGGCCAGCTCCTCTCATCTTTTCAGTGTAAGCTCAGATGCCATCACCCCATTCAACTGCACCCCCCACACACACACACACTCGCATTAACCTGCATTAACATCTTCGTACAACTTAGCAGCCTCTGAAATTATCTTCACTTACAGCATGGACGATGTCCCTTTCTCACGAAGGAGGTCAGAGACCCAGCAGAATGAGTTGATACAGAAATGGTACCCAATAAATATCTGTTGATTGATGCAATGAAGCCAAGTTTGGGGTGTTCCACTTGGCGCTCCGAGGACGTGGCACGGAGCCTGGGTGCAATAAAGACTGGCCGCGCGGACTATTTGCTGAATGAACGAATGGCCAAGAACAAACCAAGAAGCGATGCAGCATCGCTCAGCCTGCGGACCCACAGATTGACTGACAGTTGGGGATCCTCGGCCCGCAGACTGTTGATTGACAGCTGACAGCTGAGTGGCAAGGCACGGACGCGCTTTGGGGCCCCTGATTGGCCTGCCGGGAAGGGGAGGGGGCCGAGGCGACCGCCCCGCGTGGGGAGGGGCGGCAGCAGGCGGCGGAGGCTGCCCAACCGCCCGGAGCCCGGCGAGCCGCGGTCGCCTCGAACCACG